GCTCCCGTGAGCTTTGTGGTGACCTCTTCAATTGTGGGAAGCGGATAGTGGGGCCGCTGGATAGCCTTGTTGAGGTCTCTGGGGTCTAGATACACTCGTAGTTTTTGGCTTTTGGGTTTCTCGACTACCACTAGTGCATTAACCCATTCATTAGGTTCGGTTACCTTGACAATGATGTTGTTGTCCTCCTTTCTGTCAAGCTCCTCTTTTAGCCGGGCTCGTAGTGCGATGGGGACTCTGCGTGGAGGGTAGACCACTGGCATGTTAACCCGGAGTGTGCATTCTCCGGCGAATTCTCCAATGCCCTGGAAAACATCTGCATATTCCTTTAGTATGGTCTTGGGGTCGTTGTCTATTTTTGTTTCCTCTTTGCTTACTCCCATTACTAGTTTAATGAGGTTTAAGTCTAAGCTGGCACCTAAGCCTTACATGGGTGGTGCTTTGGCCTTGACAATGTGGAACTCTAGCAGTGCTAAGTGATTGTTATGCTCACATTCTAGCATGCAGGCGCCTCGGACTTCCAATGCGTTGCCTCCATAGGCTGTGATAGATTGTGCAGGTGGCGCTATGGGCACTCTTTTAAATAATGAAAGGTGTTATTTGGTATAGCGTTGATTTCCACACCCGAATCTATTTTGAACCTGATTATTTGCTGGCTAGGTCCAACTTTAATGTCCGCATAAGCCTGTACATTGTTTTTGTTTGTATTCACGGTTGTGATGCTGTCAATGTACAATTCACACTGTTCCTCTTCATTATTTTGCTCTATGGCATGCACAGGTCTCCTTTGAGGCTTTGATGGAGCAGTATTCTTGGGTTTGCAGGCTTTTGCGAAATGGTTGTACTTTTTACATTTCATACACAGTTTGCCTCTTGCTGGGCATGTTTCTATTGAACTGTGTGAGCCTGCGCACCTATCACATTCTCTGTGTACTGATTTCTGGTCTTTCGTTTTTATGTATCTGTGAGTATTTTGTCGTTGTTTTGTTGCGTTCACGGCATCAGTTTTGGTGGCATCTTTTGATCCAGTCATCTCCTTTAATTGTATCTGTGCTAGCTCGTGGGAACGGGCGATATCTATGACCTTATCTAATGTTAGCTCGGCTCCCTGACTTAACAGCTTCTTGCGGACTCGTGGGGAGTTAGTGGCGAACACAATGTGGTCCCTGACCATTTCGTTGGGGTAACCGCAGTCTTTTACAAGTAGCTTCAGCTCAGTTATAAAATGTTCAAATGTTTCGCCGTCGGCCTGCATTTTCTCATGGAAGCGCTATCTGGCGTATATCGGGTTGGACTTGGGGGTAATATAAGCTGCATACTTATCGTAGTATGTCTGTAGCTTCTTATCTTTGTCTTCGGAAAGTGACCATGTATTATATATGTCCTGTACCTTCTCCCCGATCCACAAAAGGAGGTAACTGCACTTCTCCGGTTCGCGTTTCTCCTGCAATGGGACAGAGAACATCAGCTCAGCTTGTTGCTTGAACTGCCGCCATGCTTCGGGCAGGTTGGCTGAGCCCCAATCCATCTGCGGTGCCGGAATGCCATACGTCTCCATCATCTTCGCTGTTGGTGGGTCTTCGGACCATTACTCTGACACCATGTTATGTTTACCCTTTGGCAAGCTATTCACTTTAGTATAATGAAGGAAAGAGGACGACGTAACTTCAACCACTGTTTAATCAGGCATCATGAATCACACGAGAATCACGTACTACACATTAGTCTCACGATGCTGATGACGTCACACAGTGTGCTGTACACAGTGTAGCCAAGGCACTGCTAACATCAGGATGTTACAGCTCTAACATCATGAGCATACAACTCCAAACACATTCTGTCTTTCTGCATTGCAAATACATTTCATCTCACTTGTTAGAAATATCTTTCATGTGGGCAAGCTTTAATCTTAACATTGCATAAACCAACTTTCCCTAGCAGAGAAAGATGGTTTTCAGCATCTGTGGCCTTGCATTCTCTTCATTTGCTTCGTTGCACTAACATTGTGTTACTGTTCACAGAAGCACTAAACTAACCTTCTTGTGCTTAGAAGCTCTAACATAACCTCAAGAGGCTAAAACTCCTAACACACTAAAATCTGACTTTCTGCATTGCAAAAAACATTTCATCTCACTTGTTAGAGATATCTTTCATGTGGGCAAGCTTTAGTCTTAACATTGCATTAACCAACTTTCTGTAACAGAGAAAGAAGGTTTTCCGCATCTGTGGGCTTGCATTCTCTTCATTTGCTTAGTTGCACTAACATAGGTTTACTGTTCACAGAAGCACTAAACTAAGCGTCTTGTGCTTAGAATCTTTAACATAACTTCAAGAGCCTAAAACTCCTAACACATTCAAATCTGTCTTTCTGCATTGCAAATACATGTTTGTGTGTATGCTTGTGTTTGTGTTGAGACTTGCTGTCTTGAAGGTCTGAAAGCACCACATTTTAAAACTGTGGGCAACTTCTTTGGAATAGGCAGACAATAAACAGTTGAATTACACTGGCATGCATTGGTTACCGTGACTACTTTAGGCAGTACGAGCAGTAATTTAGAACGGTGGTGTCGTTTTAAACATTGCTTGCAAGCAGACCCAATAATCAATCTTATGTGTCTGTTTCGTAAGTTAGTAACTTCTTGTCCATGCGCATACCAGTTCCTGATCAAAACCAGATAAAATTATAGTTTGAATGTGCCTTCCTACAAGCAGTAAGAAGTTTTTCAGTGCTATAATGTGTTTAAATCGTACGATAAGAAACTAACCTGATTTTAGCGAAGAAATCCTAATCTCTGTTGTTAGTGGAGCATAAGTCTATTTTCTGACGACGCAATCTCAGATTAGCAGCTCATATAAATGGTACCAGAATAAATCGGTCTGATTTTGGGCCGAAGAAATTCCCTTCTTCAGTACTGTGTAGGTGAATCTGAGCGATGCTCCTCATTTCACTGATTTAAGGCCTTAGTATGTGTTATGTATCATTGTATTCATATCGACCCTCTCATGTGAAACATTTACGTAACTCTTATACATGCGCGCACCAGGTTCTGATCAAAATCAGATAAAACTATAGCTTGAATGTGCCTTCCTACAGGTAGTAGAAAGTTTCAGTGCTATAATGTGTTTAAATCGTACGATAAAAAAAACTAACCTGATTTTAGTGAAGAAATGCTAATCTCTGTTGTTAGTAGAGGGTACGGCTTTTCTGATGGGTAAACCTCAGATTAGCAACCCATATAAATGGTGAAAAAAAAAACTAAAATAGGTAAAATCTTCTTTTTTTTTTTTGAGTTCATCTTATTTAATTTCAGTTTCGTCATACTGACCAAACCCGTGAACCATCAGTGTTTTAAGTAATAGTTTGACTACATGTATAGCCCATCAGCTGACCCCTGCTTACGGCCCCCTCAACAAAGTTATGTGAACTCTCTCTTTGTGTTCACGAACACAAAAACATAGCACCCTACCTCACCACCTAGTACTACTGTTATTTAAACAAAACATAATGGTTTGCTCGAACTCCGTGAGAACATCTGTTTAAACAGATCAACATTGTGAAATAAAACAACCAAAATTTGATGAATAAAGTTTAATTAATACAATCCCGATTCCAAAAAAGTTGGGACACTGTACAAATTGTGAATAAAAACAGTTATCTATATTCTATTGTGAATAAAATATAAGTTTATGAGATTTGTAAATTATTCCATTCCTTTTTTACTCACAATTTGTACAGTGTCCCAACTTTTTTGGAATTGGGTTTGTATTTAAAATAGATGTGATATTAGCTAAACAAATTTTAAACCCAGTTTGAGACGGAAATTAGATACGATGCTCAAAACGAACTATTGCTCCACATCATGACTGTGTAGACCACTAAGCCATTGTAGACCATGTAACCATACCATGATTAAAATAAGAAACTTAGTTAAAATATAAACAAGAACCGCCGGACATCAGATGAATAGGGAATCTGTTTATTTAAACATTAAAGTATTATCGCGCTTTGAGATAGATGTAGTGCATTTAAAACTTTTGCCAAACTTATCTGGTTTCTCTCTCGCAGCGGACCGAAATGACAGGAGCGGTGAGAGCGTGACACACAGCCATGAGCACACTCACGCAGGTGGAGGGATAGAGAGAGGGTGGGGGGTGAGAGAAAGAAATACAGATGATCTCAAAGAAAGATTTCTTCTTTACCAAGCACAATTTTGGGAAACATCGTTCCCCATTTGGGAAACAGTTTCGTATCGGGTAGGGACTACTCCCGTGTCTAGAGAAGTCTGCAAAACTTTAGTTTTCCATCACGCCTTAATACACAACATCAGAAAAACGTATGTCTCTACCAAACACAAAAATACTAGGAAGATCATTGCAGCTGTGGTGACAGGATAGAACTTGAAAAAATACAAGTTAAAATACAAACTTCAGGAGGCCCTAGCTATTTCGAGGAAACAGCTGACCAACAGTGAGCAAATCATCCTCTCCAACAAGTTAAAGTATAGATCCTTGTGTCACAGACTACACAATAAAGTGTTATCTTTCATGACAAGGGATGAAAATAGTCGGCTAAAATCACAAACAATAACAATAGGGAAGATAAAGAAGCAGAAAAGGTTCTTAAATGACACCATGAAAAACCTGCATAGGAGATTCCTCCTTGAGAGTCCTGACTGCAAAATCTCATATTCTTTTATTCTTTGTATGCGCCCATTCTGGGTAGTCCAGCCATCCATTGCAAACAGGGAATCATGCCTTTGCAAGGTACACGAGAATCTTGGTTTTCTTGTAGAGAAGCTGCATTCTCTCCATTCATTGATTCATTGGGGGTACTGACTTGGAGGAAATGGCAGAGTCAGTATGCTGTGACTCAAACTCAAAGGATTGTATGTACAATGAATGCCCTGCCTGCAAAAATAAAGACTTCCCAGTTGCAAGTGAGGGAGGCATGCAAGCAAGCATTTTCTTCACACAGTGGACAACTGAGACTGTTGTCAGAGAGAAGAACAAGGAAGGTAAAAATGAGAAATTGCCTAAGATCACAGTGAAAAAAGGACAGAGACGACTTTGCAGAGCCTACTCAAGCTCTTCCAACACCAGCTTACAAACGTCAAAATAAATCTCTTTAACATGAAACAGCAATTCACCTACTTCTGGGAAATAAAAAGAACATGACAGATCGTGAATCCTTAATTCATGTAGATCTTTCAGAAAATTACACATGCAAGTACTCCTCTGAAATCCTAGCTGTACATTTTGCATCCAACCAGCAGCAGGCAACACTCCACACTGAAGTTCTACATGTTGGTGGAGTGGATGAACATGTGTGCTTTGGCACAATCAGCCCGTCAAAAGAGAAAGGCCCTGCTGCCATATGGACCCATCTATCCCCAGTACTTGACCTGGTTAAGTCTAATGTTCCAAATGTTACTGCGGAGGCAAGCCACAGCAAGGGTGCTCCAGATGGCATTGGAGGCTTTTTAAAAAATACAGCAGACAGGCTGGTGAGCCATGGTAAAGACATCCCTAATGCTGAGCTCTTATTCAGTATCAGTATCAGCTCAGATGTCAGTAAAGTTGTTCTACATCAGTGAAGAGAACATAGATGAGGCCATAAAGAGCATGCCCAATAATCTCCCAGTAGTGCCATCAACCATGAGCATTCACCAAGTTGTAACACTTACCCCAGAACAAATCTTTGCTCAACAAGACAGACCATGGAGTGTCAGTGTTACAACTCCAAAACCTTTACCTTCGAGGTTCAGGTAACAGCATCCACAGAGGAGGGCAAGAGTCAGAATCCATCTGAAATTCCTTGGTAAAACTCTGACATCATCGGCCAGTGGTGCTGTGTTAAGTATGATGAGGAAATGTATCCTGGAGTGATTCAAGATTTGAATGAAACTCGTCAATGTGAAATGCATGCACCGGATTGGAGTCAACCGCTTTTTCTGGCCATGTCAAGATGATGTCCTATGGTATTTGCATGAAGATGTTATGAGAATGATTCCTCCTCCTACTTCTGTGACCTCACTTAATATGGAAATTGACAGAGACATATGGTCTAAGATCTCAGACTTGTGAACTGACTGAAATCAACACATGAAAGAAAACACAACTGAAATAAATAAATGACTGAAAGCAGACAAAAGAAAACAAAAGATTGACTATAAAATCAGTTAAGGATTACTTAGTGAATGAGAAGAAGAAACAAAAAGAATAAGATTAAATAAAATCAGTTGGAAATGCAAATGAGTTGAAAAGCACTGTTATAGAAACCACAGAGCCACAATACATCACAGACACACATATGGATTATACAGACACCAATGAGACATGCCTCAAAAACCAATGAAACACACATCTGGACTAGACAGACTTTTCTTGTTTCCTGTTCTTGCTTGTTCTTGTTTGCAATAGACACTATGGATTAAAAATTGTTGTTCGTTGTTAAAGTTGTAATCATTTCACTGTAGTTTTAATCTTTTTTTAACTGAGCTCAGATTAATTGCTTTTACTTACAGTATCTCACAGAAGTGAGTACACCCCTCACATTTTTGTAAATATTTTATTATATCTTTTCATGTGACAACACTGAAGAAATGACACTTTGCTACAATGTAATGTAGTGAGTGTACAGCTTGTATAACAGTGTAAATTTGCTGTCCCCTCAAAATAACTCAACACACAGCCATTAATGTCTAAACCGCTGACCACAAAAGTGAGTACACCCCTAAGTGAAAATGTCCAAATTGGGCCCAAACTCAATATTTTGTGTGGCCACCATTGTTTTCCAGCACTGCCTTAACCCTCTTGGGCATGGAGTTCACCAGAGCTTCACAGGTTGCCACTGGAGTCCTCTTCCACTCCTCCATGAAGACATCACGGAGCTGGTGGATGTTAGAGATCTTGAGATGCTCAATAGGGTTTAGCTCTGGAGACATGTTTGCTCACGAGTCCCTTGTTTGTTCTGAACAGTTAAACTGCCTGCTGTTCTTCAGAAAAAATCCTTCAGGTCCCACAAATTCTTTTTTTTAATTTTTGGCATTTGTGTGCATTTGAACCCTTTCCAACAATGACTGTATGATTTTGAGATCCATCTTTTCACACTGAGGACAACAGAGGGACTCATATGCAACTATTACAGAAGGTTCAAATGCTCACTGATGCTCCAGGAGGAAAAACCATGCATTAAGAGAATTTGAAGATCAGGGTAAATTTAACTTACTTTGTCTTCTGGGAAACATGTAACTATCTTCTGTAGCCTCTGAAGGGCAGTACTAAATGAAAAATATATTTAGGCAAAATAAGAAAAATGTACACATCTCCATTCTGTTCAAATGTTTTCACCCCCTGGCTCTTAAGCATCAGTGAGCGTTTACATTGTAACATTGTTAAAATTATGCATTACAAAAAGGACAGGTATTCGTACCGGCAAGTACCAGAGAGAAAATATCGGTACCGTCTTAAAAAAAAAAAAGGTATATGTGCATATGTAGTTGTAATAGTTGTGTACGAGTTAATTTTGTTAAAAATAAACATTCAGATTTGCAGGGATGTAAACTTTTGACCACAGCTGTAACAAGAACACGAGCATGACTTTGTTACATATGAATTGATAGATGTGAGACCCTTCTGTAAATTTATTCAGCAATGTTTAATGTTTCTTTTTTATATAGTATGTTAAGTTTGCACAAGCAGCCCTGCCTGTAGAGCACGCTGTGTATGTGTGAAGACTCTAGCCTACTTGTCATTGTTTTAATCTGCCCTTGTGTCATTTCAATACATTTGATTATATAGAGTTTGTCTCATTACTGAACATCAATCACAACTATGTTTTCTTCAGCTCAGGAACATTTGTAAAAAAAAAAAAAATTTTTTTTTTAAAAAGGGTGGCAAATCATAGTTAGCTTGCCATACTACTATCACCAAAGTATTTACTAATTTCTCAGACATAACTAAATTCCTGCCACTATCCAGTCATGATCATTCATCTTTATAGGCAAATAAGTACACAACACAGTGCTTTTCAATTATTTTATTTGAACAGTACAAATCAACTTCTACTTGGACTTCTGGCTTTGTGCCTGTGCCTTCAGTACTTTGACCACGATCTTCTGCTCCTCAATGAGGAAAGCTCGTTTGATCCTGAAAAGTGACACCGACAGATATGGATCATTAGCTCACAAAAAGCATTTAAGAGTTTAACTACACAGCATTCCTAAATCAATAGTTCACCAATTTATGAAAAACATGTCATTATTTACTTGTTTCATTATTACTTAATCTGCGAAACCCAAAGGAGAACTGTACTGGGCGTTCCTTTCCACAAAACTTTTCCAAAGTACAGTACAATGCAAATTAAATCCAAAAGCATCAAAACCAGAAGTATAAACTGCTATTTATATATTTATCAAAACAAAAACAGTTAATCCTTTCATCCTGCCTTGAAGGTTCAAAAAGGATGCAAAAGCATGAAAAAATGCCATTTAACAGGGGTGTAACGATCCATTGATATATGGATTGATACATCGATCAAATGTTTGACGATACAATGTTACAAGAAACTGTTATCGATGCCACGCGTAAAATATGGATATCTGTAGTATAAATAGGCACTTTTATTTTGGAACCACTATCCACATTTTCACATATTGTCCATCTATGCATTACTGCCAACGCATGCATTCTCCTTCAAACTCATGTGTCAGGACTCGATATAAGGACTGCCCGAAGGCACAAGGCGAGCATAAAAGATGCTCGGCATTGTTGACGGAGCTGTCGAGCGCTGGGAGATGTTTTCTGTACACACATCTAAAGCGCACGCAGACAGACGCGTCGACAGAGCGCGAATACTAAATTGAGCTCTCTTCCACTTTTTTGTGCATAGATGAGCAAATACAGACAAAATTACATCAAAATGAGCGTTTTCGTGAATATCCTAGTAAACACAGTTGGGTAGGCGTATGTCTTAACGTAAAGAGTTGAGAAAGAAAATGCATGTGTATCAGTATATTGGATCTGCGCTTTCGTTCTTAAAGTGAAAGCAAACTAATAATAAGCCTAATGCGGTCAAAGAAAAATACAAGTAGTGCTCACTGCTCCTGACTAAATATCCTTTGTAACATTATGATTAATCTATATTTAATTTATACAGTGAAGACTAGTATGCAGTTATTTTATTTGATTACATTTCTGTACCTGAAAATTTCTATTAGACTGAGCTGAAAAGCGTGAAAAGCACTGTTTATTGAATTTGTGTCTTTGTTCTATTGAATTTTCTGCTATTGCTTGTAATTTGGTTATCTGTAGAAAATATTTTTAGCACTGAGCCCATAGTAGCAGTTTTTTTATTTAAAAAAATAAAATTTATTTTTTGTAATTTTTCCTAATATTTATTTTTCTACATTAATGTATTTTTTTTCTTACAACTGGAGTACCTAATTTTAGTTGTTTCCTAAGGATGATTTACACTATTTTACACACTGAAGCCCAAAATAATTTCTTGAATGTTGTCATGTCATAAAATTACTTACGGGAAAAAAAAAGAAAAAAGTGTTGGCCTATTTTTTTTGTTGTGAATGTCCCATTTGAGGTACAAGATGTGAAAGTTTCAGATAAATGTTCATGGTATATATTTGTTGCATTTGTGAATTAATAAAAATGTAGATGGTTGTTTAAAATAGGTATATAATATAATATCGATAAATCGATCAATATGCCCCTGTATCAAAATCATATTTTTATCTTATCTTAGAATTTTTTGAGGAATTGGCAAATATTGCTTCGCTGGGTATGAGAATCGATATCATATCGTGCTGAACCATCCAATTTACACCCCTACCATTTAAGTTGACTACTGCACCATATAAATTTCAATCACTATGAAGATGAAATGATTGAGGAAAAAATGGGCAAAATATACTTTAAATATAGCTGCAAGCAGCGATTATCGGGGTTCAAGCACGTTAAGGCCTTTATGGCTTCTATGCTGTCAGGGGTCAGCAAGCG